TTTAATATTATCTTCCCACTAAGTCTAGATCTTCCTAGTGGCTTTCCCACTAAAACCATATATGCATTTTTCATTAAATATATTTGGACGATGAAAACAATTACCAACTCCTGAAGGTGAGATTTATTTTTTTTAGGATAACTCTTATTTAAAGTGATTTCTTACGTAAGTATTGATGTTTTGATGGCAATGATTATTTATAATGTAGTGTTCTGGGTTGTGATACCCCGTAGTCTTATAAGTGGATACCCTAGTTTCGGAAAAGTATGCTGTCTCAATCTTCAGGGTGTAAATGTGTGCGGTGAGGAAACGGTTGGATTACACAGACAAGTTAGAAGAACGTGGTCACTCAGATATACTGTAGGTACCTGTAACGGGCAACTTTTTTTGTAACGGGGGCCAAAATGTGACATAACTAATACTTGATACGATCTTTAACCAATTCAGTCTGTATCACGTATTCATAACCAGATTTTCTTCAAAATTAACGTCTTGAATTTCTCAAACACGTGACTGAAGAGTATTATCTTCTGGTATATAACACCTTCTAGTCCTGCAGAAGTTCACCTACATTTCGGAGTTAAATATTGCATCCATCTTCAAGATTGAAGTAGCCGTGAAGAAGTAGGCGCAAAGTGAAGTACCGGACTACACTGCGTTACATCCCCGAAGACAGTCCTCTTCAACCCAGTATTTGTTTAGTTAGTTAATTATTGGAGAGGGCGGGTTTCCCCATGCACTTAGACCAGTATTGGTCCATTGTGCTTCCCTCTATGATATTTTACCAGTCTCTATACCCTACCGATATTGGTGCGTACCATCAGTCCCGACTTAGGCCAGCGAGTTGGGCCTCTACTGGCTTGGTGGTATCTATAAAGCTTCCCCCATCTATCAGAGGCGATAGAGACTACTGTTGGGCGGGAAACGTCCTTGAATTTGGCTCAGTGACCTCCTTTGGAGATATGAGGTTCTTTTACGTGCCGTAAAGCTACGACACGGGACCCACGGCTTAAAGTCCCTCCCGGAGGACTTGTTCCCTGAATTTTTCCGCCCTTAAAAATTCCACGACCTCCGCCGTGTTTGAACCCGCGTACCACGAGTCATGAGGTGGGAACGTTACCTCTAGACTACGGAGGCCGCTCCATATTTGTTTCCTTACATTTCCAGTTCTGATGAACATAACGGGCCCCTGGATTATTGCTTAGGCCTTATACGAATATATCTGAAACGTCTAAATGATTTGTAGCAAAAACTACATAATGAATAAATTAATTTGAAGTAGTTACTTAATTAACGAAGTTGTATCAAGTTAAATTGTTATAGAGCGTCGAATTAGGTGAGGTGGTTGTGATGAAAGTTGAAGAAAAATAGTGGAAATTACTTTCGTTTGTACTATCCCAACCAACTACCAAGTGGACTGAGTAAGATCACGAATAATCCCAGTTAGAATGACTGATGTTTCGGCCGAGATTTCAACCAGTAACATCCCCCTAGCTCATCGCATGTTGCTTTAAAGCTCGCTCTTAGGGGGGCATAAGGTTATTTGTGTGGCTTCAGTGGTCACTGGAGGTGTCTCTGTTAACTCATGTGTCTCCCGCCGTCATTCCGTTAGACCGCAGGCAGCCATGTTACCCAGCAGCGGTAGCACAAAGCCTACAGTAGCTTTGGTGTTTTAGTTTAATTAATGCCACGTAGGCAGGTCACAATTTGTGGACCAGCTATTGGATTATGGCACAATAAGCGAATTACTTTAAGTGTTTCTCATTTTATTACAATAATGTAAACATATCTGCACCGAACTGATCCAGTTTAATAGATGAAGAACAATATGTTGTTGCGTCTTTCTGAGGCGAAAATTTTCAGTGGCCATATTCAATTTCAAATAACATTTTGAATATGGATTTTCCGAAGTACACGAAGGTCTACAGTCACTGAAAGTTTCAGATTAGTGTTTGTTTATCTAACGACAAACAAACTCCGTGGTCTATAGTCTGCAAGTGAACTATATCGACCGAGACACCGCCGCTTGTCGGCAAAGTTAGTGCCAACTTTAGCGGATAGAGGGTGTCGCGTGGTCAGCGCAACGAATTCACACGGCCGTTAATTTCGGTTTTCTAGACCATAGTCGCTATTTCCTTGAAATATCTCCTCAATTATCCTGACGAGGCTGAATGGACCCCGTTCCACAAAATCTGGTGGCACCGGGAATCAAACCCGGACCTCTGGATCTGTAGCCAGGAACCACAGACTAGACCACAGAGGCGTTCATCTAAGGACACTGTCCGTAACTCAGACTAGCGGCAAAGGATCAGCTGACGGTAAAGAATTAATTTGTATTTGATGTGCAATTAAGCAGTCATGACATAATTTAATGTCCTATTCCGATATTTTCGTGAAGTGACTGAGAAAACAACGAAAATCCTCAGGATAATCCATGTTTTGGCTGAGAATCGAACCAAATTTTTTCGGAATAAAATCACAGGTGTTGCCTCTTAAGTAAGCTCTCTTTGTAAGAGCCTGTCTCAGTCTGAAGGACAGAGGTTATGTTGCGTCGAGCGAGATTACAAATAAGGGGGAACAGGCGGGGAAGGGTTGTGATGTATGTTAATGTAGACATTAGATGGACCTGTGCAAAGGAAATACCGGAATACTGTAGCTATGAGAGTTGATGTCCCGACCAGTGTTCGATTTTGGTCAATAGATCTGTCCTGCTCTAGTAACATTTTCTTGTTCTGGGTTGTAATCCCTGCAGCGAAACCACCAACGTGAGGTCGCATGCATTAATGACGCCATGATCCTGGAAACTGAACCGTACCCAAGGTGTCTGCTCTCCTGCCTCCGCTAAGTCCCGTAAGTTGCTGAACAGACAAGCCAACTGCGGTATTTATTTCGACCCACCGAGAGTCCACCACACACCCAGGGCATTTCACAACATTCTGACTTAACGTGGCCTCAGTGGCCACAAGCAGTGTCTGCCCAACATGAGGCCAACATACAACTCTCACGTGAACTCTGTCTGTCTATCTATCTATCTATCTATCTATCTATCTATCTATCTATCTATCTATCTATCTATCTATCTGTATATCTGTCTGTATATCTGTCTATCTATCTGTCTGTCTGTCTATCTGTCTGTCTATCCTGAGCCGGATTAATCCAGTCCCCATTCTAATTCTCTTATTATACAAAATGTTATTATAATTTTTATCTGTGGTTTTGTATATATATGAAATTTGATCTCTGATATTAAGGGAGGATCATAGGCTGAGGGTATTTGAGAACAGGGTGTTGAGGAGAATATTTTGATCGAAGAGGGATGAAGTGAAAGAGGTTTAAGAAAATTGCTTAATAAGGAACTTCGGAATTTGTTTTCTTCGCCAAATATAATTAGAACGATTAAATAATGGAGAATGAGATGGGCGGAGCATGTAGCACGCATTGGGGAGAGGAGGAATGCATACGGGATTTGGTGGAAAAGCCAAAAGGGGAAGAAACCACTTTGAAGAGCTAGACATAGGTGGGAGGATAATATTAAAATGGAAAAAGTAATCTTTAGTCTCAAAATGTTAATATTTGTTTGGAGTGACACGATCTATCTCTGCTTCGCTTACGATTATCGAACGTCTAATATTCTGGTGGTTGCCTACAATCCCGAATTGCGCGATGGTTTGCATACATTGAGTTCTCTTTGCCAAAACTTCTGAAAGCTTGATTGTAATCTCAGAAATGCAAAGTTAAAGCGACAGAAAGAAGGGGAAGTATGGTAATTTATTACGAATCGTCAGTTGAAGTTTCCCGAAAGTCTACAGCGCTAAAGACTTCCAAAGAAATGTACCCAGCTACTGGAAATTCTTGTCACTGTAGTTACTTGATTGTGATTTCATTGATTGCTTACAGAAGTTGAATATCTTGCGGTAGACAATCTTATTGAAGAGTTCTAACTTCTGGGTTATAAGGCCATGAATTCAGTTGAAGGGCACTCGACTTCTCGGATGAACATATCGTCTCTATTTAAGGGGTTGAAGTGCATAGATTCAGTAATAAATCACCATGCCCCTTGAAGGGCCTCATTTGTCCATTTATCCCTACTATAATGTACCGAACTCCTACCTCTAGTTTCTTTGGGCCTCACGATCACCTTCTGTGTAATATGTTTACCTATTCTTTCATCTACACACTTCAACCCTGAAGCTGGAGGAAGTATTTTTCTCCGAAACTTCAGTATCCGACCACAATACTGCACGACATCACACCCCAAAAAGACCACAATTTTAACAATCATATAAAAAGTTTAAATTTTCCATGTGCTTAATTAATCAATTACCATTTCATGGAGATGTGTGTGCGGGGGGGGGGAGGTATAGCTCCACCATTCTTGATCTCGACACTAGATATAAGTGAGTGGCCGGAGGCCACGCATAGCTCAAGCGGTTAGTCGCTGGCTTCTCACCGCGGCGGCCTGAGTTCGATCTCGGATCTGGTCAAGTGGGATTTGTGGTGGACAAAGTGGCGCTGGGGCAGATTTCTCCGAGTACTTCGGTTTCCCCTGCCAATCTTCATTCCACCAATTGCTCCACATTAACCCTCATCTATTATCTGGGGCTCGTACAATAGACCAGAAGTTTCCGCAGTACAAGGGACTTAGTCCCACCCCACTAGCAATAAAAAAATGTGAGTGGCCGGCTTTGCACCCCCGCCGCTCTACTTCCGGGGAAAATGCCCTCGGTACCCATTGGTTAGTACGTTTGATGGGCCCAAGAGCCGGTCTGGATGCTGTGGAGGAGAGAAAAGTCTCTTGCCCCTTCTAAGAATTGAATCCCAGCCCTCCAGCCCTTAGCCTATCGCTATGCTATCCCTGTTCCCCATATATATCTACGGTACAATATAATCAAATGTATTTCAGATTTCAAGTTGCTGCCGCACATGGAAAGGGGAAACGCAATTAAATATCGGACGCCAGTGTATCCATACCCTGAACGCGTGAAGATGGTTGTGTGTAGATGTGTGATCTGTCGCAGGGCTGCGTCGCAGTGATAAGTCTGATGTGGGTGACATCTGTGACGCTGTTCGCTGTGATGGTGCTGTCGCGGGGCGGCTACTACTTCAACCCAACAGGCCTGCTGGCTTGCGATCCCTTCTTCTCGAGGCCGAGCCTGCGTATATTGTCATCCTGTTTGTTCTACTTTCCCACCACAATGATCCTCATGTACTGCTATGGTTCCGCCTTCCATGTGAATAAACTGCGCCTCAAACGGGTTGTCTGCTCCGGCGTGGCGGCACCAGATGACGTCGGTGCAGCAAACATGGAGAAGGTAGGATGAGGAGTATAAGCTTTTATTCACAGATTAGTATATAGATGTCAGATTTATGCATTTGAATGCTATTACCTGGAAACATAGTGGCAATCTTAATCTGTGCTGCCATCTGTTTTGTGAGAGAGAAACTACTGTATCCGTGGTGAACGGCACACATTTTCTTCGAACCATTCTAGGAAGCCATACATCTTTACGTCCCACAGATTTTGCGGTAAAATTCTTCGAGGTATTCAGTTTTCTTCAATTTGAATAAAATAACATGGCATGCATGCTTTTGTTTCTCTTACTATTCTTTCTCCACATTGATAATTACTACTTCACTGAGTATTGTACATGTTCTAGAACGTTACGGAGAGAAACGTACCTAATTGTTTTCTCCTGTTTGTTCTGAAACTTCCATCCAAACCATCCTATCCACCGATAGGCCTGTATCATTATCAGGAAAGTCATTTATTTACTTATTTACTTACTTACTTACTTACTTACTTACTTACTCATGGAGCTGAGCTCTTCTTGAGGAGCTGCCAATTCTGCTGCTACTCAAGAACTTCCTAGCATTTTATGGAACCCGAAAGTTCTTTACCGTGTTCACAAGAGCCCTCCAGTGGTCCCTATCCTGAGCCAGATGATCAATCAAATACATACTATCCCATCCTATCTCTCTAAGATCCATTCTAATATAGTCCACCCACCTACGTCTTGGTCTTCGCAGTTGTCTCTTTCCTTCTGACTCTCTCACCAATATCCTCTATGCATTCTTTTTCTCCCCCATTCGTTCTACATTCCCTGCCCACCTCATCCTCCTTGACTTAATCATTCTAATTATACTGGAGAAGGGTACAGATTATGAAGCTCCTCATTATGCAGTTTTCTCAAACCTTCTGTCACTTCATCTCTCTTCTGTCCAAATATTCTCCTCAACACCCTGTTCTCAAACACCCTCAGTCTTGTTCCTACCTTAATGTCAGAGACCAAGTTTCACACCCATACAGAACCACAGGCAAAATTATAGTTTTGTATATTCTAATTTTTGTGTTTTTGGACAGCAGACGAAAAGACGAAAGATTCTGGACTGAATGGTAACATGAATGAATGTAGAAGAGGTGGGCCTTCTTGGCCCTTGCACCGCGACCACAGTGATCTATTGTGCCTTTGGTAGCAGGAAAGTCATAGCACTGTAAAATTTCAACTGTATCTTTATATTAGTTTTGCTTATTAATGATCTGCTGCCACTACCTATCACATGACATAGGCACAAATCCTCAAAACCTTTGACACATACCTGCATATTGGCAGAATCATTATTGCACCAATTTATATAGCTTTTATTTCTGTAAGACACTGCTATGAGACGTATGAATTATGAGTCTAGTACGGATGTTGGATGTCTAGTATTCCCGTATTTGCTTGGGGAACTGAAGAACATGAAGGATTAGCCAGATTAATCGGCCTTCCTGCGGGAAATTGAGCTATGTAAATTGCCAACAGAGTTCGGACAGATTTCCACTGTTTGGACCGTTCGATGCGCGAGTAAAGCCTAAGGCAGTAACGACTTCTGAAGTTCCACTGCGAATGCTCTGTGACGGTGGTTGAAGGAAGCAGGTGACATGGAAACTTAGGGAGATTTCTTTACCGTTTGCAAAAGCGACACAAGGCTGCAATTTCAAGTTCTCAAGGAAGTGACTAAGAAATGGGGCAGTTTTCTTGGATGTAAAGATTCTGGTAGAAAGGTACCTTCTGTCTTCTGGGATGTACTCCTTGTAATCTAGTAGGTAGTTAGGTACCTTCTGTTTTCTGGGATGTGACTCCGTGTAGTTTGGTAGATAGATAGCTGTTGTCTTTAGGATACGACACTGTGTATTTTGATGAACAAGTAGCTGCTGTCTGTTTTAGAAGTGTCATCTCACAGTGCTATAAATAAATACGGTGTCACATCATAGAAGTCACTAATCTTCAACATGAGATAAACTTCTAAGCGAAATTGTCCGTGGAACTGAATCGAAATAACAAGGGATAGCCGAGTCTGAAACAAGCATAGAATGCTAATAAATCTTTTGCCTTAAATGAGATAATTCTGCATGAAAATGAAAGATTTACCAGTAAGTATGTAGTCAGGTATCTCGTTTATAATGTTGTAAAGAGATAAAATATATCTTAAACAGAACTCCACTGCAAATCCTTAACTAATGAACCCCTTTCATCTAGCTTGGAGCTCTATTCATGCAGTTGAAGTGGATGTAGCATATGTAAGGATCTGGATATGTACCGAAGCTATTTAATGATGTTCTTCTTGTTAAGAAAGAAGAAGAAGAAAAAAACCTGCGATAAATATATAAAACCTTATATTCGCCTAATCTTTTTAACCTATGATGTTGTTTAGTGGGTTCAGGCTTGTAATTATATGCTTCATTCATTCATTCATTCATTCATTCATTCGTCAATGGCTCTACAGACCTTTATTGGGCCCTTGCCGCTTTTTCAGTTCCGTAATCCTATACACAGTCGGTAGGACTCATTGGACTGGAGATCAGTCCCTTCGCAAGGCCGCTACCTACACAGTGACCTCATTGGGAATTGAAACTACAACCTTCCGGCTTGTAGCAAAGTGCCTCAACTAACTGCGCTACTGCGTACCCCGTATAGGCGGATAGACGGTCATATAATATGTTAATTACATAATTATCATGCCGTGAAAACATATTTTTTTTCCTTGGCACTACAGCCCCAGTGGGCCTAGGCCTACTTCCATGAACTTCTCCGTTCACTTTCGGTAGGACTCTTTGGGCGGGTGATCAGCTCGTCGCAAGGCCTCTACCTGTACACAAACACAGAAAAACACACACACACACAAACTAAACATCCATGCGCTGAGTGGGATTCGGGATTCGAACCCACGATCCCGGTTTCCAAACGAGCGAAGACAGTGCATGCCTTAGACCGCTCGGCTACCGTGACCGGGGTGAAAACATATAATAAATATTAATATATTCTATGAACGTTTCCTCTGGAATATTCTGTTTCCTTAGTTCGAGACTTGGAACGCAGTATCGAAAGGTCATCATTCAGAGTTCGTTACATTTCTTCTTTTCACATTTTCTGCACAAAGCAGCGAAAAATCACTTTAGTGACATAAAGTCGTCTAAGAGACTTCATCAGTTTCCTACCTGCCAGAATCGTCACTGTTTTGAATATGAATCGTCAGGGCTAGTCGTTATTAAGAGACCTGCACATTCTTCACGGGCCTCATGCCTTCTCGTCTTTCTTACTGTTTTTGTGCTAGTATGATATCAATGGCCGGTCACGGTAGTCCAGCGGCCTAATGCATATATTTCCTTCGCTCGCTAGGAAACCGGGATCGTGGGTTCGAATCCCACACAAGGCATGTATGTTTGGTATGTGTATGTGTTTATTCTACGTTTGTGTTGTCCTTTGTTTACGTAGAGGCCTTGCGACGAGCTGATCACTCGTCCAAGAATTACTAACGTCTGTAAAATAATCAAAATGAAAAAACAACCTCGACACCATAAGGCATAAGAGGAGCGGATTAAGTAAGTAGGTAATGATATTAATGAAACGAAAAAAAGTTGCTTTTCATTGATCGTCTCAAAGTGCAAATTAAATTTCTACTTATTTACTTAGTCCTTGATGCTGTGGTCGTCTCGTAACATGGTCTGCGTTACCACATGTGTTGATTCCCTATCATTCGACATCCATCCTTAAGTTGCCTGATATTTATTGTTTCCCGGGGTGATGTTAGCACCACGCTCAACCCTTAACGTAGAGGGCAAGCGGGCTACCTACGTCTGACCCCTACCATTCGACTTCAATGGAATGAATGACCCTATCAGAAGCTTAGTTTCCGCTGGCACTACCCTCAAGTAGTTCAGGGTACGCAAAATCCCCAAGGTTCTACTACCAGTATAAACTTTTACAGTATGTTTATTTACTTACTTACCGGGGGTACGCGATAGCGCAGTTGGTTGAGGCACTATGCTTCAAGCCGGAAGGTCGCTGGTTCGAATACCGATGAGGTCATTGGATTATCTAATTGACCTAATCATTCCAGCCGCACTATGGCCCTGGGGTCAACTCAGCCTTTAACAGAAATGAGTACCAAGAATCACCCTAGGGGGTAAAGGGCGGTCGGCGCGTAAGGCTGACAACCTTACCGCCATCTGTGAGCAGATATTCTAGAAAATGTGAGAGGCTCAACCTCTCACAACCGTATGGACCTCCACGGCCTGCTGTAGGGATAGCTTTACCTTTGTTTACTTAATAAATGTGTTGCTGTGATGTTTACTTCTCTTCCTACGTCCTAAGATGATCCAAACAGATTCATTTCTCATAGAACAACTGGTGCTTTTGACTTCCTCAATGCGTTCTTAAGTTCCTGATGACATTCGTTGATGTCACAAAAAACAGTTTGGCATTGGTTCAAGGCTTCTCGGGAATTTTGTATAAATATTCATAAAGTTTTTTTCTTCTGGCAAAGCTTACCAGCAATAAACAGAAGAATAAAATTACTTACCTTTTTTATATAACTACTCAATTAATAGTTCACTCTATATAGAGAACGGGCTACCGAGGAATGTGATTCGATTCCCAGCAAGGGTAAGAAATATTTCTTTTCACCACAACGTTCAGACCGACTACGGACACAACCAGCCTCCTATCCAGGGGCGTTCTTTTCCTGCAGGTAAAGCGGTTTGGTCGAGATTAAGAATATATGGAACTACACCTCCACTCCTGCATACGTCTTCAAGTCGTAAGTGTTTAATTGAACACAGGAATAACTTTGCTTACTTACTCCGCATGGATCAAAGTCTTTCTTGAGAATCTGATAGACATTAACATTTTAAGAAATATCCTTAATTTTATGGAACCCGAGTGCTAGTTAACAATTCACTGAAGTGTGTAATATCGAAAAGACCACATTTGGAGAACTGTTTACTCAAACTGAAGTATTTTCGTATCTTATTAGTCGTGCCTCTTACGTT